TTATTATTGAGTGGACTGTTTTTCCTGAGACCACGTTACTGAATATTTTTATGTGGAAATGAGCGCCCTCAAGTGGTTAAAATAACATACTGCAAAATACACAAACTAAGCTGTCACTACTATTTTGAGAACATACACATAACATGTGACACACATGTTTTTCTAAGCTTCACTAATCGATCCTAATATGAGAAAAAAGAGTCATAATTTTACTGATATTGCTGCATCCAGGCTCTCCCTGAGTTCTCCAGGATTCCCGGACTCATCCTACCAGGACGTGCCGTGTCGGACTGCCTGATGCTTATGCAGTTCTTGCGAGGCTTTGGAAAGGTTTTGGGACTCGATGTGAACACGGATGTGCCCACGCTGGGAATGCTACAGGAGGGCTTGCTTAATGTGGGGGACAGCATGGGCCAAGTTCAAGACCTTCTGGTCAAACTGCTTTCTCTGGCAGTCTGTGATCCTGGTTTGCCACCTGGACAAAAGGTGAGCTGCGTTTTGAACTGACTGATTCTGCTTTAGGACTGTAGCTGAGACATAATCAAGTTAGTAAATATGATCCATAAGAAACAAAACATTAACAATACCACCATATGTAGCTTTATCATATACATTTAGGACTAACTTTAGGATTATAAAGATCTTGCACAAAGTCATTTAGAATGACTTCAAAATCAGTGTTTTTACACTTGACTTGACATTATTTTAATGCTGATGCCTCCATGCCTCCATGCCTTTACTAGCAATGTGATATTTTTGTTTTTAGGTTAAAGGCTTGGGTACATTTTCATCTATTTAAAAAAATTTTTTATATATATAATTTATTTGCTATCATCAACTTCCCTATCCTTAGACAAAAACCATGCTGGGGGACCACCTGACTAACGTTGGCATCAACAGAGATAATGTCTCCGAGGTGCTGCAGATGTATATGGGAGCCCATTGTGGAAATACAGATCTGGCTCCTTTGGCTCTCAGTTTGAAGACAAAGGCCTTTCAGGCTCACACGCCTGCTCAGAAGGCCTCAATTTTGGGGTTCTTGGCTAATGAGCTGGCCTGCAGCAAAGCTGTCATCAGGTAGGTAACTGACCCCTTTGAGTACTCCACAGTACTGTGCAAAAGTCTTGCACAATACTGTGGAAATACTCCATATTTCACTTCCAAGGAGCCAAGCTTTCTTTTATTTATTTATTTGAGTAGTCTTGAGCAATAATTCTCCAGGGTTTCTAAAAGACTAGCAGCTTATTTTTAGTTAAATGACAAAGGTAACACGCCTTTAATGACATAAAATAGTATTTTTTGCATCAACAAGGTGATCCCCAAACAAACTATCTAAAGAAAATGAACAGTATCTGAAAGTCATATCCTCAAGGAATAGGACCTGAGGGGTGTATCTGGCCTTTCAGTTGATCCATCTATTGTTCACTGAAGCCTCATCAAAAAAGGTCTCAGTGGAAGAGTGGCTGTCAAGAAGCCATTTTTAAGAAAGAGGAATCGGGATAAAATGCTATGGTCTGCCAAATTACACAAGAACTAGACTGAAAATCAGTGTCAACGGGTTTGATGAAGTGATGGTGTTGGTGGGGCCCTTCCCAAAATTGGTGGAATTATGAACACGGAAAAGTATGGTAAGATTTTCATCCATCATGCAGTATCATCAGGAAAGGATGTGATAGGCAGCAGCATAATCTTTGATGACAGTGACACCAAATACACCAGCAATGCAGTAAAAGCATACTTTGGATTGGCCTCCACAGAGCCTGGATCTCAACATTAGTCATTATTGAACAGAGAACAGAACAAAAGGCAACCAACATCCAAAGATTAACTTTGAATGTGTTACAAGAAGCCTGGAGAACTATTCCTAAAGACGACTTAAAGAAATGACAAGAAATCTGCCAAAGAGAGTTCACGCTGTGTTAAAGAATGAATAAACGTGGTCATTCATTAGAATTGTTGTTGCCTCATACACCGTTTTTCTATGTATGTTTGCACATGTTTCAATAGAATAAAAGAAAGAAGACTTTTGCACATTACCATATGTCAGTGTAGGATGTGTCTCTTCCTCTGAGACAAAATTAAAAATCTAACAGTCCTTTTCACCAACCACACACTGGAAAAAATTAGTTAATGCGGTATATGTGGTTTTATTTTGTTTAACGCTGAAATTATATCTGAGCCAGTGATGTTATTTTTTATTGATACGGTGGAGAACAATTAATAAAGCTGCAGCAGGGAGCAGTAATTTGCAGTCCTTTTTATTGTAGGGAAATAATAAAAGTATTAATTTGTGCTCTGGGATACCAGCTGTTATATTAAGCTTTTTTTTGAGCTGTGAATGGTAGCCAGCCCCCATGAACTTTTACTCATTATATTTATTAGTTTCCGAGATTACCTAAAACAATGGATGTACACTGCCACAGCTATAATTAACAGAATTGTGTTTCCTCGTGCAGTGAGATTGACAAGAACCTGGATCAGATGGCAAATATGAGGAAAGACAAGATTATTATGGAGGGAAAACTGAAGAAGTAAGATTTCTTAACCCTAAAAATAATGTTTTTGTTCTCCATACTAGGTCAGACTAAACTCCTGTGTCCTTATACAGGTTGAGAACCATTTATGCCAAACGAACTGGAAAGAGGGAAGCCAGCATGGGTGTGGAAGAGAACCAGTCTGTTGGCACTCCATCCTCGGCCACCAAACGCAAGATGAAACTGGGTGGAGACAGCGAAGATGACGACGACGACGACGATGACAGTGACGACCAACCGGAGGAAGAGGAGGAAGAGGAGGAGGAAGAACTAAAGAAGGTTAGAAAAGTGGAGACATATGATGAGGTAAGGTGATAGAGCCAGCTTCATTATAAGAAGCTAAATGTTTGTGCAGTTGCTCAAAGACATTTCCTGTATTTGTTTGTTCCTTCTATCAGGATGAAGTTGACCATGCTACTAGTGTCGAGGAACTGGAGAAGCAAATAGAAAAAATGGCCAAGGTATGTCTTTCTTGAACACGTTTAAATGCTTTAAAATGCATGAAAATCAGTGTTTGATTGATCCAGTTAATGTGGGATATACTCAAATATACAAAGTGAGATTAAAGAAAAATCTCCTGCTGCAATAGAAGTAATACGTCAGACACCTGCAATGCTAGACTTTGGAATTCAAGCTGCAAAATGGGTCGAAAACTACAATGTGATTTGTACGTTGTGTGAATATTTGTGTTGCCATAGGTCTGTTTACTAATGAAGGCACTAATTAGTTTGATAAATGACCTCATTAGCATCTTATGTGATGCTTCATATGTCGCACAGAAAAAAACAAAAACCGGTAGGGCAGATTTCTTCTGTTTTTGAAGGTCTGTAATTTCCATGTATGTTTTGTACAATTGCAGCAACATCATCAGACCAGAAGAAAGCTGTATGAGATATCCCATTCCCTACGCTCTATGATGTATGGACAGGATCGGTACCGCCGCCGATACTGGGTACTGCCCCACTGTGGAGGGGTCTTCATTGAAGCCATGGAGAGTGGAGAAGGTTGTTGCAGTACACCGCCCACTTTTTTTTTCTGAATACGTATACGCTTCACTTTGCTTATCTGAGAGGATATTTGGAAAATGAATGTGTAATGGTAACATGCTCGGCAAGAAGACAAAGAAAGACCTTTTATAATTCGTGTAGCTGCATGTTCAGCTGTTTTGTTGCCGAGTGAAATACGCAGATAGCATCTGTCAACACTAATAACACAGCTCTGCCTGTCTCCCGAAAGCAAGCGAATTAGTGTAATGTCCAATAATCAGGATCCAGTTTCAGTGTTACAGTAGTTCACTTTCTAACTGGAGTACGTTTTCCTCCTTTTTTCTGCAGCTCCAGAGGAACTGGAGGAGGAGCGACAGAGGAGGAGGAGAGCAGCAGAGGAGGTCAAGGTCAAAGAAGAACCTCAAGAGATTGAGTTGCAGAAGGAGAAACCCACCAACCTTGATGGGCAGAGCACTCGAACACAGGACTTGGAGCAACAGAAAGAGGAGGAGAAGAAACACGAGCGGAAGAAAAACTCCCCGACCCTCTTCTACCAGCAACCAGGCTGTGTAACCAAGCTGTGCGCTCTCAGAGAAGTCAGCAAGGACATTGGTAAAGAATCTGTGAAGGCAGAAGACAAGGAGAGTCCCCATGTGAGACAGAATGGCAGTCCCCTAGGCACTCCTGTTACAACCACTATGTCAGCGTCCTCCCCCACTCACAATACCCTCGAGCCTGCAACAGCGGCAGCAACAGCTCCCTCCATGGTGACTGCTAACGACACAACAAACATCCCTCACCTGGCTTCATCCTCTTTATCTGCCCCGTGCCTGCCAGCTGCACGTGAAAGCCCAGGGAACACTCCTCCAACCTCATCCCCGGCTCCATCGCCACACCTTTCATTCCAAGCAAACGACCAGCTGCTCAGAGTGCTAACAGAAAGGAGCGGGCACTGGTTCAGTCTGCTCCCTCGCAACCCTTGTGACCTCTCCTCCCTCACCACAACACCACCAGGAGCGCCTCGTGTGTCTCCTCAGGCATCCTCCACCCCAGCCAGACCCAAATCCCCACCTCCATCCCCTGCTCTCCCTCTCACCCCTTCTGCTGCCTCAGCCTCTGCCAGCCCACACCACCCAACTGGCATCCTCAGCTACCCACTATCCACCCTGCAGGTGAGAATACTGGCTGGTAAACATGTTGCTATTATATTTCCTTTTGTGCACTACCACCTTCCTCACCCCTCTATTGTCCCTCTTTTCTCCACAGGTTAAGTCAGGTGTCTCTTTGCTAGGAGTTTCTTTCGCAAGCTGGCCCAGTGGAATGATAAGTCCCGGCCTGCCTTTGTGCAGCAGCCCTAGCCCCATGCCAAGTCACTCTGTAGAGGGCAACACAGCAGCAAGTGTCTCCAGTAAAAGTGAATCGCCTTTACCTCGCATTGAGAAAACTTGCTCTATGCCCTCTCCCGCCTTGGAGATGCCCAAATCCCTCGACCACGCCACGCCACGACCCATCCCAGAAGGTGAGCAACACTTGATGTATTATTTTGTATATATATAATGAGATCAGCCAATGCTATCCTTACTTAAGCCCAGTTTGATTTGACTGTAACATGTCTTAACTGAACAAAACATCTTCTTTCTTTCACACCCGTGTGCTCAGAGATGCTGACAGGTTGGTGGCGGGTGTCTGACATCGAAGAGCTCAGGGCTCTTGTCAATGCTCTCCACAGCCGAGGAATCAGAGAGAAGGCCCTCCAGAGACAAATGCAGAAATACATGGAGATCATCCCCCAGGTCTGCACCAAACACAGAGACGGTAAGTCTGGAAACAGCTCCTCTGAGCACATAATGATGTGCCTCAGATTCATTCATGCTTAGAAGCGTTTCCTTATAATCCCACAATAAATTGCTAATACTGTATCAGTGAGGTTTATTGAAGTTTATATGAACAACTGTCTTTCACTGCCTAACCCATGTGTCTGCTGTGTAATTTATCTAGTGGCCATGATTGAGCTCCATGAGTTGGAGGAGAGCCAGGTCAGTGTGGAGTCGGTGCGGGGCTGGTGTGTTGAGGAGCAAGCAATGGAAATGGACATCGCTATACTGCAGCAGGTTGAGGAACTGGAGAGGAAGGTCACCGCAGCCAGCCTGCAGGTTAAGGTGAAATAGTAACACACTAGCACAAATATTTCTACATATTTTGTTTGTGAAATTTATGTTTTTTTTAGAGGCCAATAAACTCAACAGCTCATTTCCTCTCACAGGGCTGGACGTACCCGGACCCTCAGTCTGAGCGTGAGGACCTGGTGTACTACGAGCACAAGCCCCTGACCAAATCCACGGCCTCGGCGACAAACACGGGAGACAAGGAATCCAAGGAGCATCTGGAGGAGCGGGGAGAGAAGGGCGGGGTGATGCGTCACCCGGACAACCCGCTGGACATTGCAGTGACACGTCTGGCTGATCTGGAGCGCAACATCGAGAGAAGGTACCTGAGGAGCCCCTTAGGTACCACCATTCAGATCAGGCTGGATAATGTGGGTACGGTCACTGTCCCTGCCCCCGCCCCATCTACTAGTGCTGACAGGGAAGGGTAGGTCATTTCTCCAACCAGCTCCCCACTCTCCCACTAAGACCCTTTCCTCTCTCTATGTGTGCTTTTTTTGTTTCCCATATTACTCAAAGGGTGAGGGTCTTTGCTGATTTCACAGCAGATTTTTGTGGTTGCCTGTTGCTTTTTTTTTATTTTGTTTTTTTTTTCCTTTTTGTCTTGTGCAGCTTTTTGTGTGGGAGGGGCTCCACTCACTGCCATTTCCCCCCCCTAAAGTCATCTGCATGGTGTTGTGCATCAGCAACCTCAGTTATAGGCTTACTTACAGCTCCTGCTATTCAGCATACACTTACCCTTCCTGCATGAGCGTCCCCCTTAACATGATAAAAAAAACGTGTGTACCTCTCCCCAGCACTCTATACTCCCAAAAACGTCATGCCTGTCTCTGCCCAGATGGAGCTTTTTACAGCATCTGGTTCAACTGACACAGTTTACTACAAACCCATTTTCATAAAAAGTTGTGTGGACTTTAAATAAAAACAAAATGCCGTGTTTTGAAACTCATTAAAAAGAATTTGTTTAGTTAAAAACGGAACATGTTAAATGTCGAGAAACTGATAAATTCACATTTTGAAACTTGTCTGTTTTCTTAATTTTTTTCTACACCTTTCCATTTTTGCTTGACATAAAGTTTAGCTTTGTTTCAGGCCCACCAAATGTTTTCAGCGGGTGACAGGTGTGGATTGTAGTAGCCAGGATCTTACTACAGATTGATTCTGAGCTGTGAAATAAGCAAACCGTTCCCTGAGAATGACACACTGCCAGCATTTGTTGCTCTAAATTGTGTGCATTTTCCCTAGCATTAATGGCGCCCATACCATAAGACGTTGGGTAGGTCTTACCCTCTTTAGCCTGCAGTCAGTGATTTCTGACTTTCAAATTAAGATTTGTCACACCAGAGACCAGTTTTGTACTTTGCCTCAGTCCATCTTGAATGACTTCTTAGAGACTCAGCCTCACATCAGCGCTCTTTTCACTACTGAACCTAACGACGCTTTACAGCGTCTCGCACACAGTCTTTGTCCTGTCTCAACTTTTTTAAAAACATGTTGCTGGCATCAAATTCAAAAATGACCATAGAGCTTAAAATAAACAGTAAAATGCTGTGATCATGCCCCTGAACGTTATAAACACGAGCTTAAAATTATTTGCAAGTCACTGCATTTTGTTTTTATTCACATTTTACACAGCAGCCTTAGTTTTATTGGTTACGGGTTGTAGTTTGTGTGTAAATAACCCCACACGTTCCCATATGTGTATCTATTTTGATTCTCATAACCTTCCCTTAAATTCCCTCAGCAGCGAGGAGGAGGTGGCCCACGGTATGAAAGTGTGGAGGAAGGCCCTGAGCGAAGTGCGCAGCGCCGCCCAGCTGGCCATGTGTATCCAGCAACTGCAGAAGTCCATTGCCTGGGAGAGGTCGATAATGAAAGTGGTAAGAGAATAAAAGAACAGCCTGTGTCCACAATGTTAATTGAAAACTATTAGGAAAGTTTGTACTTGTTTTTAATGGACGCACTTATTTTGTAGTACTGTCAGATTTGCAAGAAGGGGGATAATGAGGACCTCCTCCTGCTGTGTGATGGCTGTGACAAAGGCTGCCACACTTACTGTCACAAACCCAAGATCACCAGCATCCCAGAAGGAGACTGGTACTGCCCGGCCTGCATATCCAAGGTATCTGAACCTTTTATTACTTATGATTTTTTTTTAATGTGCATTTTTTTAGACTCATCTCAGGACTTATTTTACTCCTGTTTTGTAAAGTTGATGGTAGAAAGGCAAGAAGAAAAAGGACACATTGTAGAGTATATCTTGTGCATCTAAACCGCAAGGACACGTGCTCGCTCAAAGAAATCTCATCAACTGCTCCTCCCCTAGAGTTTTATTGCTTGCTCTTCACTTTTATTGTCTGCAGCATGGATTTATCCCATTAAGTGACAGTAAAACTCATAAGTCATACTCATACTGATACAAGCTGAGTAACGATTTTTAACGCAGGCTTTAAAGAATTTGTGTTGATGCAGATGTGGTCAGCAAAGGGACTAAATATTATTGCTTGTCTAAGATATGGCAAATTGATATGACATTTTAGGAAAGGACAATATTAGGAGGATGAAACTAAATGGTTCCAGTTTGAATAGCACCCGAACTAAGGAAATGCTGCAATTTTGGGTACTTTTGCAGGCAAGTGGTCCATCCCCCAAAAGCAAAAAGCCTCCAGCCAAACCAGTAGCATCTAGTGGGGGGAGTAGCAAGAAGGGCGGAGAGGCAAAGAAGAATGGAAAGCAGGCCGGTAACGGGGAAGTGTCGGAGGATGACTCAGCAAGTGCCAGCAGTACGCCCAAAAAAGGAGCAAAAGACACCAGCAGGAAGAGGAAAACGGAGGAGAGTTTACCTGCTCTAACGACATCCAATCAGGAGACTACTGGGTGTGTGAAGCGAGCCAAGACGGCTCGAGACAACAACAGGGACCTGGGATTATGCAGGTATGTCTCCATGGCATGTTTGCACTTGTCTCTCTGTGTCATTTTCTTCTCAGTAGTTGCACAGTAATTTCCACCTGCTACAAAGCTGTATGGAAAGGTTGGAGGATGTATTTTACATTTTCTGTTGTGTTTAAAACCACAAAACCTCAGATCAACGTTTACTTGCAGTATTTCATTCCTGGAATTTTTCAGCACAAAGTCAGCTTCTCTTTTGTTTTTTAGCGGTTTTATTAGCTCATAAAACCCTAAAGATTATGAGTTAAATGCAAACTTTAAACCTCCATGGACATATTTTTGACCAGCAGCAGAAACAAACTGTAACTGGTTAGGAAATGCTGTTTACACAACCACTTAGGGCAAAGCAGCACTATCTTAGCTTTCTTTTACCTCAACTTTCAGCCTACTCAGCTTTCTGGGGAAATATCTGATTCTCCAGCTGTTAATGCTTCACTGTTCACCAGCTAGTCCTAGCTTTGAGTACCATAAACCCAAAACAATGATTTAAAAGAAACTTCCAGTATTCAGGCACAATGGGAGCCTCGTTCACACACTTCACCCACATGTAACCGATCCCTTGTCAATCCAGAAATATTGGTTATAGCTGCTTAAACATAAGAGGAAATTATGAAAGAAAGCTTTTCTGTGTTACACACAAAGCTTATATTTACACAAAGTCATGGCCAGAGTTTAACTGTGTGTTTGTGTGTCCTACAGAGTACTCCTTGCTGAGTTGGAGCGGCATCAGGATGCATGGCCTTTTCTCACACCTGTCAACCTGAAATCGGTGCCTGGCTACAGGAAGGTCATCAAGAAACCGATGGACTTCTCCACCATACGTGAGAAGCTTGTGAGCAGCCAGTGAGTTCCCATCGCTTCTCTCGGTTCTTTTTTCTGCTAAAAGCCTCACGCAGAAGTTAAAGCAAGACCAGTGTTTTCAGTTTTGTTTAGTTTTTTCAGGAATTATGTGATGTGTCTGCTGTTCTCTCTAACCTGAATATGTCTTTCTTTTTTTAAATTTCAGGTATCAAAACCTGGAGACGTTCATCATCGATGTCAACTTGGTCTTTGATAACTGTGAAAAATTCAATGAAGACAATTCAGACATTGGTCGAGCTGGTCATAACATGAGGAAGTTCTTTGAGAAGCGCTGGACTGAGCTTCTGAAACAAACAAACTAAAACAAATAAAAAAAACACTTAAGATTTAAAAAAAAAAAAAAGTCTGTTCAGACTCTTCTCCAATACACCCATTCAACTTTTCGTACCGGAGCACCAGGTGTTACTTTTTATTTTGTGATGGAGAACGTGGCTTTGCAGGATGGTAGAAGAAGAAGCCAACTCCTTAATAAGGAACCTGTGGTGTGCTTAGGAGAGGTGTCACCTTGAAAAATAAAAAGTTGTTTAGGTGCACTGGATTTATTACAACAGGGATGAAAGCCCCAAAGAGTCCCAGAGAAATGGGGTGTCATAGTGCAATACCATTCCCTGTCTCAGAACACTGCACTGAATGAATCCTCAAAAATGTCAATGATGTGTCTGCGCTAGAATACTTTCCACTACTTGTAAATAGTTTGTTTTTGTTTATTTGGGTTTTTTTGTTCGTTTGTTATTTAATCGTATTATAGTGAATGTATTTAATTTTGTAATAATTATTTATGAATCAAGGTCCACTTCATTTTCTATGAAAAAGGAGGAATCAGCCGAACTGCTTTGACTTCTGAAAAGGAATGTGTTATTGTGTTATAATTTTTTTCTCTCTCTCTCTCCCAAATATCAAACAAAGCCAAGACAAAAAAAAAGAAAAGGAAAAAAGAAAAAAAAGAGCTGTTTACACTGTTCAGTGCTTTGGGGCATCGGAGGACTGTATTCAATTGTTCGATCTGTAAAACTGCATTTATTTACAGCAACTGCAGAGGAACAGTTAGGCTGTGGTGATTCATGTGTATATACTGTTTATTAATGTCTATATTATGTCTTGTTTGGAACAATGTGTAAAAATTGTTTAAGAATATTAAGATATTGTTTATGCCTTAGAATGATTGTAGCATTCTATTTTAGTGAACGTGATGAAAACATTATCATAAATATTGTTTGTACAGTATATACATATCCTCTGCAAACACTGTGGTATCCTTAATCTTGGTAGTGCCTACCCTTCCAACAGGGGCATGTAGGGGATGTTATCGTTTTTAGTTTTCATTCTTTATGATAATTATTTTTTTATATGATTTCAATCCAACAAGGCCTCCAAAGTTGGACAGTGACACAGAAATCATTCCTCCCCATAAATAATAATAACTAAAAAGAGAAAAAAAGGAACAACAAGCATTCAGTTATGCTTCCATGATACATTTCCTCACAATCTGCCACAATACAAGGACCTAAGGCCATTTTTAACCACTGTGTTGAACCTTGCTGTGTGTTGTGGCCTGATGGAGGCAGCTAGATTTTTTTGTACCCAAGTCAAAAGTACTTGAAGTTACTTTATTTAAGATATTGTGGAATAAAAGTATCATTCTTTTGTAGGAGCTTTATTTTTCACTAGTGTGTGGCACGGACCTATTAAAAGGATGTTTTTCAACGTAAGTGACTCAAACTGGTTTCATTTCAAGTCCGACCTGCAGCTGTAGAAGTGCGGTTTAACTCTTTATTCTGTCAAAGTGCGAGTCATATGTAAAGTTGCACGTGTGACCGGATTAAAGAGAAATTTATTTTGTTTGTGCTTTTAGCTAAATATCTGCAATTGTACTTTACATCGTGTTAAATGCCTCTTTCATGACCAGACTGTAAAATGTTTTCAGGATCCTGAGAAGCTGCTCTGAAACATACATTTTTCAAGGATCTCAGAAACGGTGTCTCAAAAATGAATTCAACTTAACATCTGTAAATTAACAATAAAATCCAGAAAGAGCAGATCCTTATTTGTCTCATCGAGTGGCAGATTGTCATGATCCAAGCAGCCAGGAACACACAGGCACAAATGTAATCTTCAAAAAAATGGGTTTTATTATACCCCCAAAAAGGACAAGACGATTACAAAAATTCAAAATAACAAAAAATAAAGTTTTTAAGAATCAAGTGGGCCCATAAAAGAGGTTAACTTAACAGAACGCTACTCAAAAGTCACTTAACAAAAACATAACTCAACAAACTGACCTGTCCAAATGAGAAACAGCTCCAGTTATATAGCAAATGAATAAACCATTATATACACCAAAGGTGAAAACTAAAGAGATAACAGCTAACCATCATTCAAGAAGAACCCCATTCCCCCTGCATAATCACAATAGATGGTCCAGTCCACTTTATTGGCTTCTGCATTTAAACCAGCTCCACCCTCAGCCTCCTCTTTCAGCCAAACCAGGAAGGACTGGAGCGGAGGTCAGGTAACTCAGAAAGAGCAGAAATATAATCAATATAACATACCTATATAAAATAACAAACAAAGCAAAGTCTATGCCATCATTTGGGCTATAGCTTAGTGCTGTCATGCATTACAGGTAAACTCAAAATATCAAATTAGTTAACTTATGATCACAGAAGCTTTAGAGCATAACGTAAACATAAGACAAAAGACCAAATGAATATTACCCAAGTATCTCAGTTGTGTGGTTGCATGCATCCATCACACAGATCATAAAATGAAGACCGTTAATAAAAAGGAAAGTTAAGTGTGCCGTACACAGCTGGCAAGTGCAAGTTTAGCAAGTGCCTATTCCCAAGGTTTCTATACATTTTATTCTTGTAGGGAAAATATTAATCATGAACCCTGCCGCACGCTACAGTATGTATAGCCTGAGGCACTACACAGTTTAGACGCATACAGTTAGGTCCATAAGCATGTTGTTAATGACGTGTTTTGTAGTTTTACCTCTGTACATTACCAAACTCCAGATGTGACTTTCAGCTTTAATTCAAAAGGTTGTACAAAGGTTTTTACATTTAGTGCTGCGTAATTACAGCCATTTTTATACACAAGCCTTCATTGTCCCATGCTCGAAAGTAATTGAGCAATTGACTGGTAACCAGTTTTCATAGCACTGTGAAGCCCATTCCCTCCTTTTCTTTTTTCTTTCTTTCTTTTAATATTTATTTATTTTGAGGACAAATTAAGCAGATAAAAGATCTAGAACTGATTCAAAATTTTAAATTTGCATTTGGTGGTTGTTCACTGAAACTCTCAATTTGAGGTCCAGACCCAGTGGCGGTCCTAGCCTGTTTGGCGCCCTGGGCGAACACTCCCTGACAAAGATGAGGTCTTAGTGAAGAGAAAGTATTAGTAGCTACATCAACGCTGACCACTCTGTGAGTGGATGTCTTAAAAAGACATCCACTCACAGAGTCAGTGTCACAGGTCACTGGGAAATCCACTGCCGCTGATTTCGCTGTAACCTACAAAACAGGGTTTGATGCTTTAAAATTGGACTAACTTGTCAGCACCATTTAATTCAGCATTCCTGTGATTTTGGAGAATAAATGAATACCTGGCTGTCCATTGAGATGGCCGTAACTTGAACCGTTTGCCGGTGTGGTTTGATTGGAATGTAGTAGATGGCCACCTCTGCTGTCAGCGTAGTCTGTGCAGCGACGTTTTTCCGGTGGAAAGCCATTGTCATCTTCAAAGTCTCTGTCAGAGTGGTGTCGCTTGCAGCTCTCCCCTTCCTCTCTGCTTCTGTTTCTGTGGCTCCAAGCTTAACCCCATATTATTTTCAAACAAAATCTAGCTTAAAACAAACACATTTCCTTCTGTTTTCATTAAAGGATCGAGAGAAAGATGGCAATACTCACCCACTCTCACGGTGT